ATGGTCGAGCTTATCAAGAACCGAGGTGTGACGGCCACCTACGCGACTCCAACCGAGTATAAGAGTTGGCTGAGGCGCGAGAACCAGGCCACATTGCGGTCCTCGTTTTGGCGGCTGGCTTTGGTTGCTGGAGAAGCCGTCACCCAGCCACTTTTACAGCTCTTCCGTGAGGTAGATCGCGACGGTCTCCGTCTCTTCAATGTGTACGGTCCCACAGAGACAACATGTGGATCTACCAAAATGGAGCTGTCGTACCGTGAGCCTGGATTCTATCAGGGGACTATCCCCGTTGGAGTGGCATCCGCAAATGAGCGGTTCTACATCTTGGACGCCAGTCTGAACCTTCAGCCAGTTGGGCAGACGGGTGAGATTGCCATCGGTGGTGTTGGTGTTGCCAAGGGCTACTTGAATATGGACGAGCGGACTCAGGCATCCTTCTTGCAGGATCCCTTTGCAACCAAGGACGATTTGAAGCGCGGATGGACGACCATGTACCGAACAGGCGACGTCGGATACTTGCAACCAAATGGCTCCCTCGTTCTGACGGGACGCATCGGAGACGACACAGAGATCAAGCTTAATGGTGTGCGTATTGATTTGAAGGATGTAGAGAATACCGTCATGCAAGCTTCCAACGGTCTTCTCGCCGATGCCGTGGCGTCTCTTCGCAGCACATCTGACGGGTCGGTCAAGTTCATGGTCGTCCATGTCGTCTTCTCGAGCGAGAGCCTGACCGGTTCTACGAGCAGGTTCCTCAAGAAGCTTCTCGCAGAACTACCGTTGGCACGAAACATGTGCCCCTCGGCCCTCATCCCGATTGATTCGCTTCCCAGAACGGTAGCTGGCAAGGTCGACAGACGCGGCATCGCTTCCTTGCCAATCTCGCAGGGGCTTTTCCACCGCGCTGAGCATGATGTGGATAGTTCCGAAGGATCAAAGAGACTGTCCACGGCTGAGAGGACACTCCAGAGCTACTGGGAAACTGTGATCCCTGAAGAGCTGGTCGGACTGCACGACATCGAAGCGGATTCGGATTTCTTCACCATCGGAGGGAATTCTCTTCTCCTGATCGAGCTCCAGGGTCGGATTCGTGCGGATCTCGGCATCTTCATCGCACTACCCAAGCTTTTCCAAGCTACCACCCTGAGGTCGATGGCCCGGCTTCTTCCCGGGATGGACGACACTGAGCCGGAGCTCGAACATCAGATTGATTGGGTAAGCGAGGCCGCCCTGCTACCTGAAGATATTGTTTCTGGGCGAGAGGTTGCTCAGGCAGTTGCGAATCTCCCTCGCACTGTTGTCTTGACTGGAGCTACTGGTTTCCTTGGCCAGTACCTCATCAAATCCCTCGTCGAGGACGAGAACATTGAGAAGGTCTTCTGCATAGCTGTCCGAAACCCCAAGGACCAAAGCCGTCAAGATCAATTATCCCAGCTCGGACCCAAGGCAGAGTTCTACGAAGGCGACCTGAGCTCGCCCCGCCTCGGTCTCACAGAAGAATCAGCCCTTCGCATCTTCCAGTCCGCCGATGCGGTCATCCATAACGGCGCGGACGTCTCGCATCTCAAAACATACCCTTCCCTCCGCGCTGCCAACCTCGGAGCAACGCAGGAGCTCGTCCGACTGTGCAGTCCCCGGCAGATCCCGCTGCACTACGTGTCCACCACGGGTGTCGCCATGTACACCCCCTTCAAAGAGCTGGCCGAGGTCTCGGTCCGCGAACACATGCCCCCGTCGGACGGCCAACACGGCTACGTTGCTTCCAAATGGGCCAGCGAGATATACCTCGAGAATGTTCACGCAGAAAGCGGCCTGCCGATCTACATTCATCGCCCGTCGAGCATCATGCGTCCCGAGGCCGACAGAACTGGTGAGAACCCGGCCGCTGATGTTCTACAGAACATGCTCGATTACTCACGGCGGGTGTGCGCTGTGCCAGCCGCGCTAGGTCTGAGTGGCTTTGTCGACCTGGTCAGGCCCGAGACGGTCACCAGTGGAGTGGTGGGGGCCGTCATGTCTGGGTCTAAGGAGGATGGAGTTGTGTACATCCACGAGTCTGGTGACTTAGAGTTAGATGTAAGCCAGATAAGAGAGTACCTGGAGACTGAGACGGGAGAATCTGTTGATGCGTTGGCTCTGGATGAGTGGATTGATCGTGCGGAGGAGATTGGGCTGTCGCCTGCTATGGCTGCCGTGTTCCGGAGTTCGCTGGGGTCTGGGGAGCCAATGAATCTGCCTAAGTTGCTAAGGCGATGATTTTTTACGCAGAGTTTACTTGGAGTTCTGGTTGTACCCTGTATTTTTGGCCGTCGTTAGTATCATTGGACTGTTGCACATTACCTACGATAAAATAGAGGTCTTCAATGTTCTAAATATCCATGCCTTCCCTTCAACTTGGCGAAAGCATATCGTGTTTGTGAGTCTCAAGATGAAAACTCCCCCCTTCAGGCCAGTACCTAGCTGCATGACGTTTTCACCACCGATTTGCGCCTCACGCCATATCAGCTTAATGGGATCAACAACTGACTCCATGTACTTTATTTGTTCACTTGGACTTCCACGCAGGTCGCGCGAACCTTTTAACAGTCAAGTGCCAATTGTCTATTCTGTCCGACTGCTTATTATTCTCCCACTACATCGCAGCCTTTCTAGCTCTTCTCACCTGTACAGGGCCTTGCGATGATAGAGGCCTAGATCCATCAAGACTATGGGACGACACATCCGACGCTTTCACTACTTTCTCTTGAACGACCGGCTGAGCTGTTGTAACTTCTTCATCCTCCGATCTATCATCCTTCGCAACCCCCAAGAAGACAAACTTGTAAGCGCTACGCAGTAAGCAATACAGCCAGAACAGGTTCAGTGCCTGCAACAACGCCAAGAGGCCAAAGGTGATGAAGTTCGACAGAGGACACTTATACTGCTCAGTCTCCCAGTTCAGCTCATATGGCCCAACGGTACTAAACTCGGATCCAGGCAGCGCAGAGTAGAGAATCCGCAAGTTGATGTAGTGCCGGAGGTAAATCCACACGGCGATACACACACCAAATGACACTCCCTGGAGCTTGTTGTCGAGATAATTCAGCGATTTCGACACTGCCAGGAAGAAATCGCTGATATCGTGCGTGATGTACACCGCAATACCCATATACGCAAAATGGAAGCGGTAACTCAGCGCGACGAGCGCAACGGTGACGACATGATGCGCGACAAGCTCATGGAAGTCCTTGCGTCGTTGCTCCAAGCCAAGCACCATCACTACCACCTGCTGCGCCCAGAACGCTGCCTGTAGGAGGTAGTAGCACTTGAAGCTGGCGTCGTGCGTGCGGTGCGGGAAGCCCTTGTACATCCCGTGGGTGTCGAAGTACCACACTGGCGTACGGCTCATGACGTGCAGGCCCCAGGGCCCGATGACAGTCACATAGAGCGCCGTGTACATGTTCTCCGCGAAGCGTGCCCGCTTGGCGCGGGATTTGATACCCCATGCGCGGGCGAGCGGTGTCAGGAGCTCTTGCATGCAGACTTCGCGTGTGAAGGTGAGAAATATTGTGTAAAACGCGACGAAGGCGATGTCCCACGGTCCCTTGCCATATTGTGTGGTCTCAGCGCCTCCGTTGTCGAGCTTGTAGGAGGGGAATATAAAGTGGTGCGTCGGGTTGGAGTCGGTCGGGTTGACGGCGTAGAGGGAGAGGATCGCGATTGTGAGGAACAAGGGGAGCGCCCAGGTCCGACGACGCATGAGAGCGAACATTTTTGTCTTCTTTCGCTTCGAGTAGCTCTTTGTCTGGCGGTTATTCAACATCTGGGGCGGGACTTGAGCCCCTGGCTGGAGCTCCATGTAGTTTGCGCCCATATTATAAGAGATCGTTGGGCTTGGGTCTCGGCAGGAATTCGGGAAGTGCTTCGTCGTCGCGATCGTTTGGTCGTCGTACTAATGCCAGGTTCGAATTGTCAAGTGACACCTTAGCTTTCGATCATTGATTTACTTGGTCGAGGAACACGGTAAAGATTGGACGCAGGTATGTCTTCGAATCTCCGCGTCTCACCTCCACGATGCGCAAAGAAAAACAGTCGCAAGACTCGAGATCATGAGGGGATCAAATAACTTTGTGTGCGTCTCCAACACAGGCAGTCCAGGCGCAATTAGAAAGCTGTCCGTCTTGGGATAGCTTAATGCAGGGGCTACTGTTGGCCGGCGTGTGACACACAATTAATCAAATGGGGGCGTCAGCAGAAGCCCAGAAGGGGAAGATTGTTTTCTTTATCCCGTTCGAGGACGGACTTGGGTCCTTAAGTAAAGATGTATGGGATACAATCCTTACAGCGCGCCCTCTACGAGCTTTTAATTTTAGCTCCGTGAACACTCGTATAGCTGCGTGTAAGTCGCGAAGTCCGAAATTCTGTGTTGAGAGGCTTCTTAGCTGGGTCCGGTGAACATGCGAATGTCCATGTCTCGGCAGCTTCTAATCACAGTATTAGGACCCACGTTTTCAACGGTGGCTGGCATTCGCCATACCCACCAGACCCTGGCTGATAATAGAATTGTTGCGTGAGGCTGAGGAATAGAAAAGGGGGAGAGGGTCGAACTGGACAGTTGAGACGCGTACGAGTTTTTTACCCTCCGATTCGGAGGGTTTATGTCGTCATATTGCTCCGAATGGAGCGGGTCCCTCTCAGTCCCGATTCATGAGGGGACTGAAGCTGCACACCGCCTCCAGAAAATGTTGCTGCGGGATGAGACCTTCCTGGAATAACTCAATCGTGGTTGGTGTAATATATGAACTATCCATTGTGGTGGAAGGTAACCGTCAAAAATGGGAATTAAGAGAGAGAATCACTACTCTTTAATATGGGCATACTAGAGTCTCAAGATATGAACGGAGGGATAAGACGGGCGTTAGAATAGGATCTAGCAAGTTGTATTTCATGAACTGGAGAATTGGAGTCTATTGTGTCTGCGAGTCTTGGCCAGCCAATGAAGCGTATCATCTCCACAGCCATCAATCAATCTGTTTCTCGCATCCAATTCTGTTGAGCAACTCCTTCCGGCCACTGTGCGTCCTCACGCCACTCACCCTAGAGCTCGAAGACTCCTTCCGGGAAGGGGACCTGTCCCAAGCCTTCAAGTCAATAGACTCCACGCCAACATCCTCCTCAATGGCCTCGATCTCCTCATACTCAATCTTCTCCTCTTCCTCTTCCTCGTCATCGACATCGCTTCTAACATCCTCGGCGGGAGCCCCCTTGAGCACTCTCACCGAGACACGAATAATGAAGAATGACCACGCGCAGATGACAAGCTCAAGTGCAAGGAGAAAGGTTAAAAAGCCGTATCGAATGCCGTTGGTGAAGCATACCGTGCCCGCGGGATCCTTGAACGGCTCGAGGAGGTGGGACCAGCCTTCTGTAGGCGCCGAGAATGACCCTTCGATATTGCCTGGGGCGCCTCGGAAGCATGGCTCTTTTAGAGATCGGGGTAGGTCGTAGTAGACGCTCCAGCAGGTCATAAGGTAGAATACGTGGCGCGTCCAGACCCACACGAGGAGGAAGACGCCAAAGATAACGTCGCAGAGAGTCGTGAAGCCGATGTATTTGAGGCACTTGGCTAGCTGTCGTGACTGTTAGCAGGTGGCTTGGCGCGTGATCTCAACTGAAGGAGGACTGACTGGGAAGATCAACTCAATGACGTCCATTAAGACCAAAATGAGATGACCGACGCGGGTTTGGTGATACGCGTAGCATGCCGCGATGAGAGAGATGGTGATTGCGTGGTGCACAATCATCTCCCAGTAATCCTTGCGCCGAGCCTCGATGTTCACCGAGATGACCTGCTGGACCCAGTAGGCCCATTGCACCATGATGTATCCCTTCATTAACCCGTCGAGTTCCCTTTGGGGCCAATTGTTCCAGAGCTCCTTCATGTTGAGGTAGTATGGCGCCTTGCAATAAAGGTACTAGATAGTCGCCAGTTAGTCGACAATGTGCCCACGAGGTAAGAATGCGAATCTACCGTACCATTCCCACAGGCCAGAGAACACTGTAGTATGCGAGCATCGAGCCCTGTTCCGAAAACCTGGCAACATCCTTCTTCTTCGATATGCCCCAGTGCCGGCCGAGAGGCTCAAGAACGTGGCGCATCAGCGCGGCCCGAATGCCAATGAGGAGAACCACGCAAAATGCGACAAAGCAGAGGTCGTCGTGACCAGCGCCATACTTGCCGGTGGTCGTGTTGTGATATGAGAGCTTGATGAACTTGGATGTGTACGGACGCGCCGCGGGGATGCAGATGTGTGTGAGGAGTAGAGGGGCAACTGTATGGAATGCGAGGTCTGTTCAATTAGATGACTTCAGGTCAGCATTGACTTGTAAGATGAATGGGTGTGATGCACGGCATCCATAGAGGTGGTCAGCTTCCCTCCACACTCTTCGCGACGTACTTGTCTGGTTGTCAAATAGCCACTGTACAAGCTTCTTCCTCCGGCTCGTGTCAATGGTCTTTAGCTTTTGTGAGTGCGCAAGCCTGGGCGCCCCAGATGCGACGGGCGAAGCGCGCTTCGTATGCGCGATCTCGGTGGTGGGTTCTATCATGGTCTTTGTCACGCAGTCGAGGCGAAGCTCAGCTCAGCTCAGCTTTCCACGAGAAGATGCCGAGGCGAGGATGAATCAAACAGTATGTTTCTCGAGCAGAAATTTGTGTGACAAAACTGTTGAGAAAGTGCCCGTAAGCGCGAGTCGCTTAAAGAAGTAACAGTAACAATATTTCCCTGCCAGCGGCCCCCTCCCCTCCCCCAACAGGGCGAGACCAAAGCTGCCAGCTGAGCAGGTTGGACCCTTTCTTCGCGCCTCGCAGGGGGCGGTGAGACAAGGCGGCGGGAATGCAGGGATGCTCATATTTGGGCGGGCGGGATCTTGGAACTGGCGGCCGTTAAGATCTCTGGCATTTTCCAACTTTCAGGTTTGTTTGCCCTAGGCTAATCCTGCGTCTTCATATTGCAGCTATTTGCTTGTGGAACAATAGGGCTGACGGTGAAGAGCTCCCGTCATGCTTCATGCCAAGTATCAGTAGCACACTGCAAGTGATCATAGCGACCCTATGTATTAGACTTTCGCTTCTCAATGACATTCTCTGTTGCCAATTGACCGCAAAAAACAAAGATGCAGGGCATGCAAGACTCAGGGGAAACCAGCATCAGGCCATCCCCGCACCAATCAGGATTGGCTGACATGGGTGCTTGTCATCGTGCCATTGCCCCAGGTCCGCAGATTACTTTCGCAGGTGGATCCTGAGGCTTAGCTATCTGTAGGCCTGCTGGAACCCAGACCAACAGGATAACAAAAGCCTCGACGAAATAATAAAAATATTGGTCCCTCGCTCTTACTTTGAGAAACTGTCATGCGCCAATGTATTGCCTTGCTCGGACCCGAATAATCCTTCGTGTTCTTCAAAAGTGTGTGGCATCTCATAGAACCGTAATAACCGATACTTTGGAGGCGAAGAGCATTTGCCAAAGTCTGCTAGCAATGGAAACATTGAGCCACGGGGAAAATGCATGCAGCAAGTTCTAGGTGTCTCCGGCAAATAAAGGTACACTTTACCCCCGATAACTAGCCCGCCCGGTTGTAGAAATCTTATTGACCGAGAGCTCCGGGCAATACCAGTCGACGCACGGAGCCGCGACCCACTTTGTCCGAGTGAGAGGATTTTGATTTGTTGTTTCTGGCGGATCTTCGGGGATCCACACCTCCGGGGACCGATAGGCTTCGCCGGCCGGGTGATGGCAGTGTGCCTGGAATCGACGCCACGCTGCTGTCGCAATCGTCCTACAAGCCGGCAGCAGAAACAGAGGAAGAAAAGAAAAGAAATCTGCGGCCAGTAATTTTGCTCTTCCGGCTTTTATGGAAACACGAATCGCCCACATTATGTGCGGGCCGCTGATAAAGGTGCCCGGTCGGGGTCTAGCGGGGAATCGGCGACAGTAATATACGGCGTTCAATGCTCGCCGAGACAACCCGATATCACCCGCCGAGTAGTTACTTGCGTGGAATGAGACTGTTTTCTTAATGATGTTCTCTCTCGTCGTTCCACTTCGTCACTCACATGCTTTTCTCGGAATCTGCTCCTTCACGCTCGTAAAATTCACAATGGCTGCCGCATATCCTGCCACTCTGGCTCAAGCCAACATGCAGAAGCCGGAAGGGCTGGATCTCTATGCTCGGTTTGCGCTCGCCGGTGCCTTGGGTTGCTCCATAACTCACGCTGTCTTCACACCCGTCGATGTGTACGTCGTCTCATTACCCTTGTCCTCGCACGCCATAATACTCACCCACAATGCCACAGTGTCAAGACGAAGATCCAGCTTGACCCAGCAACCTACAACCGCGGTATGATTGCCGGTTTCCGTCAACTGATACGCAACGAAGGTGTCGGTGCTCTACTGACAGGATTGGGCCCCACATTCACCGGCTACTTCATCCAAGGAGGTGTCAAGTTTGGCCTCTATGAACTTTTCAAGAAACAATCGATTGAGATCATTGGACTCGAGAAAGCAAGAAGGAATCGTACGGCAGTCTACTCTGTCTCAGCAGCCTGTGCTGAGTGTTGCTCTGCGGTCACACTTTGTCCCGCGGAAGCTACTCGTATCCGACTCGTGTCCGTGCCTGGCTTCGCCAATGGGTTAATAGGTGGGTTTAGCAAAATTCTGAAGCATGAAGGTGTTGGCGCATTATACTCCGGATTTGGCCCCATCTTGTTCAAACAGTAAGTTGTGTTCCACTACCTTACTGGAGCTGGTTGAACATCAACACTTGTACAAGACTGCTGCACGGACTAATACCAGCAAAGAGTTCCATATACCGTCACGAAATTTGTTTCATTTGAGAAGATCTCCGAGTTTTTCTTTGCTCGCCTCGATAACTCCAAGACCGGGACGACCCAACTTATGATCAACATGGGATCCGGACTCTTATCTGGCTGTGCCGCTGCTGTCGTCTCACAACCAGCCGACACCATGCTATCCAAAATCAACAAGACAAAGGGATTGCCTGGTGAAAGTACCGCGTTTCGTCTTTACAAAATTGCGACCGAACTTGGATTCCGTGGATCATTTGCCGGGCTCTCGGCACGCCTGTTCATGATTGGTGGGCTCACCGCTGGCCAGTTTGCGATCTATGGAAGCATCAAAACCGCTCTAGGTATGGGTGTTCCACTTTCCATTCATTTCTAAGCTAATCATATGCCGTAGGTGCTACTAATGGCGTAGAGATCTCGAAGTGATCGGAATGCGAGCATGTCATCTGGCCGTTGCACGCCCGTCTACGAATTTTCATTTAGTGGAAACCCGAGAGTGACTGCGCATTGTATTACCGGGCTTCATTTTTACTCTAGGGGTAAGGCAGTGGACTATGCCACGTTGCTGTCAAATGATCTCGTGCTTCGTGTTGATAGCATTTGCTCCTTCTTGAACGTCACCTCGACATATAATTACACAGTAAGCGGCCTAGCAGCACAAACTGTGTAGAAATCCTATAGCATATCCAAAGAACTTTGAACTCGTGCAATGTCTTATGTGACGCGTTTTTCAAAGTAGGGATTCGCTTCCTAGCATCTATGGTTGAATACCGGCACGGTATCTCAGCCAATGGTTGCTCAAGCGATGAGGTCCGAAAAAGGACCCATCCGCACTATTTCACTAGTTACGCTCGTTTACTGTCATAAGTACTCGTCCATCCATGCCATTCGTCGCCATGTATAGAGAATTTTGGAAAGGCTCGTGAACTGATACTACCTACACCATGGATTCAGGCTAATAGCCATCTGGACACTATACGAACAGACGCATGTAGAGCATGGAGCAGATCCCAATTTGCCCGCCTCGGGCCAGAATGTGATCATGCTTGGCTATAAATGAAGCGTCAAGGGCTAGGAAGTTAGAAGTTGCAAACCTGCTCTTGTACTATGTCGCAGACGTCAACGTATCGACTAAACTCGACTCTTCAATTCTTCAAGCCGCAAAGCAAGGACATGAGGGAGTTGTGTGGCTTCTATTGAAAGCCTGGGCAGAACATAATCCATGCTCATTTCATGACCGAAGTCCTTTCGCTGAAACCTCCAGGCCAGGACATGCCGATATGGTGCAGCTACTCCTCGAAAATTATGCGGTGATCGATGAGCAAACCCGAAGTGGTACCGCGCTTCTGGCAGCAGCGGAACGGGGAAATACTCCAGGTGTACGGTTCCTGCTAGAATGTGGTGCCGATTATGAAGCTGCGCTCAACTTTCAGCAGCTTGACATTAATACTTTGGGGTGTCATCCGCTAGTTCTATCTTGCACGACCGTTTTCTTGGAATATAAATGATTTCAGACCATTACAAACCCAGACACGGCGAGAATTCTTTACCTTTTGCCTCAATATTCGGTCACGCAGTGGTAGTGCGGATATTTTTGGAACAGCAAAAACCGTTGAGGAGACCAGGAGAGTACTGGTCTCGAGTGTTGGCGACCACCATTATTAAGGACCACTACCACATCACCACAATGCTTGTGGAAGCTGGAGCGAATTGTTAACACACCTTCAGAGGAACAAGGCTGCCTGAAATACTCAACATTGCACTGGCAATGCGTCGTCTGAACGTTGTCGAGCTCCAATGGCGAAATGGTGCAAACATTAGCATACCACGCGCAAAGAAGACTGGGTATAGGGCCGAGTCAATGAACTCCGTTGAACTCGCCGGGTATCTGGAGTTAACGAGATAGCAAACTTGATCTCAACAGCACCGCCCGCCATCTCACAGCCCAACACGAGGTTACGGGGTCTTGAGGTAATTGAAAATGATATAAGAACATGCTGGATTTCCGCAAGGCATCTGTCGATCTTGTATGATGTTGTATGGCAACTGGGGTCTTTTGAGGTACATCGACGTTTGGTCTTTCACCTTAACTTAACTAGAGTAAAATCGTAATTCGGAGTGGTGTCCATACATGAGTCGAGAACTCTGTCACTAGTCTAACCTTCCTGCTGCTATTGTTTCGGGAGTCCAAGTCGTGATGGGGATGTGGATCCGTCGTCACAGCCGGGCCCTTAATGTCTTCGTAAGGAGATATGTTGCCATGTGGCAACCGCATATTACAATTATCTCAAAGTTGACCATGAACCAAGAAAGATCCAAAACTCCTGGCGTCAGAACGCCGCGCTCCGAACCTTTCCGGCTACCGGCTTCCCAAAATAATCCCAAAGTCCGTCAAATCATAAGCTAATAATACACTGCAGCGCCATTGAGAATGTCGTGTCTCAAGGCTCAGTTGATGCCCAACATGGACGATGTTCTCCTGTCACCCGGCTTCTCCTGAAGCTGTCTCCGGTACGAATCTAACTCCATCGTCGCCCACACAAGGGCAATCTTACCCTTGTCGTAGCGATACATACAGTGCTGGTGGAACTTGACGCTCTTCCCGTTCGGTTTCGCGTCCGCAAACTCCTGCACCGGCGTCCCCGAGATCTGCAGCCTCACAGCAACCTGCTGCGTCTCCTCGTCGACAAGCAGCTCCTGAATATTGAACCACAGTCCCGAAATCGCTTCCTGACTGTACTGCATACTGCGTGCGTAATCCTGTACCGAGAGAACGCGGTTGTTGTGTCGCAGCTCCTTCTTGCAGTAGCGCGGGAACTCCTTGACCATGCTGCGCCGGTTGATGCTTGCAACGTACTTGCGGTACGTTGCGGCCAAATCAATGGGTTCCGCGGGGAGACTGCGCATGAAGAAGCGTGGGGTGGTTGCGGCCTCGGGTGTCTGCAGGCGAATACCGTCGTTATCCTGTAGCGTAAGCATGCGCGAGATCTTGCCCCTGTCGTCGAACCACACGAAACACTGCTCGTCGAACTCGTACGTTGTGCCGACGGGGTCAACGTCCATCATTGCCTCGGCGAGCGTGACGCGGTTGATGTATCGCACAGCGACGGCCTGGGCCTTCTTGTCGACGAGGAGGGTGTCGATTTTGATCTTGAAGCTTGCGAGGCCCTCGACGCGCGATCGCAGGCGTTCGACATGCTCTTCGCGTGTCTGGCTGCGGTTGTTGCGCATCAAAGTGTCGGCGAGGTGGTTGCCGATGACATCGAATTTGCGGTTGTTGAGGCAGTCGAGGTACTCGCGCAGGCGGGCACCAATGTCGACTTGGATGCCTTTGCCGTCGCCGTTCCATCTCTTGGAAGAGGGACTTCTGCTCTTGCGGATGGGAATGCTGGTGGTGTTTCCGGTAGCAGCTTCTTTGACTTCTGGGACTTCGGGAGGCTTGAGCTCGGGGGACTCGGGAGGAGTGAGAAGGGTCTCGTGAGGGAAGCACGGAGCTCCGTACTCGTCCATCGTGACCGTATTCATCTTCATCATGATATCTTTCGATGGGGGTGTAGTAAGGGTTTAGTGATCTGTTTAATCGACTGTGACGAGAGCATGTGTTGCCTCGAGAGGATGAGTTTTGTCGCGATTTCGATGGGTGTAGATGGGTTTGGTGAGATGATGGGATTGTGGAAACAGGGTAGCACTCGGGGACGGGAGGTATCGAGCTTCTCGGCGTGAATTGTACTTGTAGGAGGTGAGCTTAGGTTGTCGATCTATGCAGATCACGGATGGGAAACAGGCCAGACCACGCCAGACCACGGAGACGTAATTAGGGGGGATTAGGTAAGTAAGGTACTTTTAATATGAATGAGCACTGAAAACGATCGAGTGATGGGAATTACGGGAGCTCAGAACCAAACAGCAGTGGACGTGACCGGGCCGGGGGTGGTGTGACTGAGCAGAGACATAGGGTGAGAGAGACACAGAAAGTGAGGGAAACACGAGTGAGAGAAAAAAAGGGCACGATGAAGATCTCAAGCTTTAGCCACGCCTCTCGCGTGAATGACGTACAAATCCCCGCAATTCCTGACATCACCCGCATCCCTGTGGCGGCCAGCCGAACATCTCATCCCTCACCATCCCAGAACATCCCAGGACCATCCCTAACCATAAGCGGGACGCGCGGACCTAACCCAAACAGCCACGGCACCGCGCTAGTCCGCCAGATTATATGCTGTAAATAGCCCCTGGGCCAGTCGCCAGGAGGGAAACCTCCGCTACATTCCAATCCGGCGAGCCACGCTACTCCAGGTGGCTTGGGTGGCTTTCCTGGGGCAACCGGGGGAAGAGGGGAAATGATGGTCGAGACTCTCAGGTCATGCCCCAGGCTCAGAATGACATAGGTAGCGTGATACGGTGGTGTAAGAAGTACGTAGTCTCCTATTGAAGTGAACCCCAACAAAAACCTGAAAATCAGTTGAATCGAAGTCCGCCTAATCATGCCCAGACCAGGACCACCATCACGTCCCATCAACTATCAGCCATCAGACGGATGAACGGTCCCTGCGGCGGGAAGTGGAACCCTCCCATTAACTCAAACCACCCAAAAGGCCACCCCGGTCCTCGCCTCCCGAGCTCCCGGGATCCCGGCATTTCCCTCACAAGCTTTTCAGCAGCTGAACGGGGCCGGTCCCGGATTAGTGTAGCTCGTCGGCGTGGGCCAGTACGGCTGGAACAGGATCCCGGGGTCCGTAGACTTGTACGCCCCCGGGAACGACACGAGACCCGACGGGCTGGTGCTCCCGCCCCCGGACACGGAAACCTGCGCGCACGCGAGGTAGAACTGCGCTCCGCCCTCCGTGGCGGCGCCATGGAGCGCCAGGTGCTCGACGCGGACGAGGTACTCGCCTGATGGGATGCACGCCGGAATCTTGGTGGAGAGTATTTGGGTGTCTATGACGTTATTCATCATTAGCTTTTGCTTGTCCAATTCATGAGAAGCCCCCCCACGAGCCCACAAAACACTGAATCAGCCCTATGCGAAAGGAATCTGTTGCGGGCACACGATTCACACACTCTCCACATAAGTGAGAGGGCCCCTTTTCTTTTGAAACCCGCAAAAGGCTTTTTAGTCTCTGCATCTTCTCCTCTTTTCTGCCCTGTTTCCTTCATTTCTGACATTTTCTTCACTACCCTCCGAGCCTCTTCTCCGTCGTATTATTCTGGAGAAAACAAAAAATAAGGCAGAAAATTGGAAACAACTCACTGGTAGAAGCCCACTCCAACCCACTGCTCGTAATAGTCGGCCTCTCGTGGTAGATCTTGAACCACACCGCCCCGCTGCCGTCCCACGTCGCCGCGGTTTGGCCGGTCGGCACCTTAGCCATGTAGAAGCTCGCCGGTCCCGGGTGTCCCACGACCCCGTTGGCCGCGAATCCGATTGTTGAGCCTGCCGATACCGGCAGCGTTGTCACCGTCCCGCGATCAGCAGCATCTGCTTCATAGCAACGGATCTGCGTCGACGACACACCATCGGCCGGGCCGTTGGTGTAGAAGTTGAGCGTCTTGCGCACGTGTTGCCATTCGGGATAGGTTGTGCCACCGTAGACGAGGCGACCGAAGGTGTCTAAGTTCAAATAAGTCAGAGCTATCTTGTAGTTTATGTGCAGCGCCGGCTTTGTGGTTTCTGTGAGATGCGTATAATTGACAGCCAGACTTACAGTGGGCCTCGGCAGAGGCGGCTGCCACAGCGAGAAGAGCGATTGGCGAGAACTTCATTTTGCTGCTGTGATGGCGACTTCTGAACGTATGACTTCCCAAAACCCTAAGTCTTCTGGAATTCCATCTTCTCGATCAACCTCGGCCGGCCGACCGACCCACTCTTAAATAAAGCTGCCGTCTCAGTCACTTCCATATCACTACTCTCGATGCTCACGTGGCGTATGCGGGCGGTCGCTTTCTCAGCAATCACGAACGCTTAGAAGGAACTTCCAAGAGCTTCTCAATATCATAAAAGTCTTTTCGGCCACTAGCGAAATCCACGGGGCTATGTTCCACGAATCTTCTATCTTCGGGGTCGCAACCGGAGCGAGGCCTCCGAGAGAAGGTCACAACACGATCCTGGCGCTGCCCTTAGTTGCTACCCGCCAAGATCCAGTGAACTACCGCCTGTCCAATGGTTCCGGGGTAAACATATTGAACCTAATTAAAACTTGACCCAAGTCTGTGAAAGGTTTTTTTCTCTCATCTGGGGTTTACACTTTCTTCCTTCAATCAATATTCGAGCTGCTCCGGGTGTCAGGTGTTCTAGCATCCGTAACACATGCGGATAGTGTTCATATTCTCAAGGACACCAATGGGTCTATAATCTCTGACTTTTGTATGGAAGGTTGACGGCAACCACAAGCAGCACACCTATAGGCTTTTGCGTTCTGTATTGGTCGATCTGAGAAGGCGGACGGGTCTAACAAACAAGCCTACCAGTACTCAAGATAGCATTGGCCGCTATCCTCAACTGTGACATTATGAAAGATTCGTTTGAGAGATCAACCCTAAACTCCATTCGTACAGCGGAGACCACATTGCTGCATAAATGAGTCGTGTATTGGCACTGAAATGTACCAGAAACCCCGTCTGATACAGCATCCCACATCGCCCACGTAAGGTAAGCAGTGTCTATTCCAGATCTGCGTCCGCCTAAGAATCCAATCCAGACTTCAGGCTGGCGCCAGCCCATCTCATATCTTACATGACTCAGTAGCTGGAGCTGTTCTTGATGCGACAGATCTCGTCGCATTTGACGTTGTTAGCATAAGGGCCCTTCCAATCGCACTCGTTGGCGGGCAGGAGAAGGACGTTGTAGCAGCAGTCCTGGGTCACAGATTGGCTCAGCATTTGAACCGAAAAGTTCACAGCAAGATGTCGGCTGCACAATGACTTGGAAATACCTTTGCAGCTAAACCAGTAATGATGGCGAAGGCAGTGACGAAAATAGTGAGCTTCATTTCGAATTGTTGGATACAACGACGGTGATTTTGTTGCTGATCTACTGGTTGTATCGATCGTGTAAGTGGCTTAGATGATGTGAAAGACTGTGATGATTGAGAGGTTCTCTCTACTTACTCTTGTCGGAAAGAAGGTGAAGTTATATACAAATTTGTAAGAGACTTATCATCAACTTGTATTGCTTCTGATTCTGAGAATCAGCTTAAGTGTCTTTAGTAGCAACTACCTAAGGACAGAGCTCGCGTGTAGCATGATCCGCATTGCTAGTATTTGCGGACAGAGTTCATCTCAAGCTGAAAGTGGGCCAAGAGCCTCGAATCGTCTTTTGCCGGAACTGCATTGTATCTGTTGCCATATTCACAGCCCGCGGTCACTTGCTTTGAGCATTGGACCGTCGGAGAAACAGTCCATTTCCGCGGTGATCAGTCCGAATCAAGCTTCGCAGAAACTTGTAGACTTGCCGCAGATGGACCGCTTTCGGCCGGTCTGACAATAAATTCTAAGCAGGTATTCGCCCATACCAAAATGCATCGCCCGGGGAGATGATCGCTTCTAAACTCTAAAAGCTGGATCATCCGTGACTTGCGGGACAGTTAAAAAGTAATCCTGCATTGAATTGAAGTGTAAAAAAGTTACTGGACTTTTCCCACCTTCAGTCTGATCATTCTATTAACTTGGGTAGGAACTACAATTTGCTCTCTCAAAGGTAAGATCTGAATGAGTATTGGTGTGGGGATCATCAACTCAAGCGACAAACATCCAGACAAAGGGAACGCAGAAACAGGAGAAATGATACAGAGGCCTCGCGAGGGACATTATAATACAACAGATGGGAGAGTCAAAACTTAGCGAAAGTGTAGTGGGCGGAAAGCGACCTGCTTAGGAAAAACGGAAGGTCGAAGGCAAGACAATCAGGAACAATCAGCAACAGCTCAGTATCTCCTCTTCACTCAAACGTTTCCCAGCATATAACCTGTAGTTATTCGACCGCATCTACTCATTGATCACGGGAATATTAGATGTCGTTGTCTCGAAGACTTTGCTGGACGACGACACACCTGCAGCTTGTATTCATGGCCAAATCTTTGCTTGAGGAGCTCTTGAAGCTTCCTCCTATCGATGTAACGGCCAGCAATCATCTGTTCCTCGCCATATATCTGTCTGTAAAAGGACGAGGTTGATGCGGAAGAAAAGCCCGTGCTTTGTCGGCTTGACACTGGAGAGTAAGGGTCGATGTCTCTCTGTGAATGGGAGGATCTAGGAGATGTGGAGAATAAGGCGGTGAAGTAGTTCATTATTGGTGATATGCCTATTCGCGGTTCCACAATCGCTGTCTCAGTATCTTGAAATCAGATGGCTTTGTGTTGGCTCGTTTTGCTTCCTGCGCTAAACTAGTCTTGAGTTTGTGGAAGTGACCGGGTTCTTGAATACTTTGGGGGCGACTGAGCGTCCTGTCAAGTGACTGACATCCAGCAGGCTTGCTGGTAGGCCATGAAGCTCCATCTGCCTTGGAAGTGTGAGATAGCTGATACTGCAGACTTCATCATCTGTGTAACTGGAGATAGAGATGGGTGTCTTGCCGATCAATAAGAGCAGGCCAGCCAATCATGGAGCAACACAGTCACGGAAATGATCTTCTCCGACTCGCTTGAAGTATAGTTCCAGTATCTGGACAAAAGATGAAATGAGGGGTAAAACGTCGAAAGCCTCAGTTTGAGTTGGGCCTGATTGGAGCCATGGTGCTATTGCTAACACTCTGACCAGACTGGAAACCCGTCCGAGAGTGTGTGGTGAGGCAGGCTGTAGACTTGGCAGTGCAAATCACGCACAGTCAAGGCAATATGCAAGTGTAGAAAGTACGTGATTGGGTAATGGCCATGCAGTATGCACGCCATCTCACACCGGATTTCGAAAGCTATGAATATTGGGCCAGGTGGCGCTCCAATCTCACCGGGGCTTTTGGAATGTATGTAGGTTGCAAGCGGATGCTGCACCGACTTACTTTTGTGATTCAAATTTTCAACCTCCTCTTGTATCATATTCTCTGTCATACAACTTATTGCAGCAAATAAATGCAGCCTGAAGAAAGCAAGGTGGTGAATAGGTAATACCTGTCAGCCGAGAATGACTGTGCTTGGTATGCCTAATCCTCCAAGCCGCCCATCCACCCACCGAACTGCGTGCATGAGATTAGCACTTGGCCTTACCGAGCATCAAATCGCTGGCTCTCAAAAGAACACTTCTATCCACCCGAACTACTATACCCAGGAGATTCATTCCATTTCTATGCCCAATCACCAGTAGACCAGTTCTGGTCCAAATCGAATCATCGCTGTGATCGGAACTTGGGAAGTACCGAGCATGGCTCAAAGCCATAGCACATCATCCGTAAGTACAAGTCATGATTACACTCGCCCTTTGTTGATTCGAGGAAGGAACACCCAAGAGCCAATCCTCGAACAATGAAATGATGCAGCTATTACAGTGCATTCACTATATGCGCAACACCTGTGGGTGGGTGCGTGGGTGCATGTGAGCGTGTGTTGGCAGAGGACCGTACTAGACGCTAACAGTAATATTGGTACAGTCATCGGAATCTATGTCGAATGAAAGTTGCCAATGTGATTTTACGCAATGTGGCCATCGTGTTGGCGCTGCTCGGAATGAGATTTCTAGCATCTTACTCCGGAACTCGCTCAGGGATCTAGACGGTAGCCGCAATCGCTTTGTGCCACATGGATGTTTGATATCCGAAATCAACCACACCAAGGTTGTGCGATGGCTGCAGACCTGTATTCCGTCCGAGGACATAGCCGATATCGATTCTCTTGCCCGAATCATAAGTCCGATCGGTTCGGATCGCTGCCGGTGCGGAAGTCCCTTGTGTACGGGATCGAGGATCATTTTCGCAACCTTGATGCTACTGGCCAAGGAAGCATACATTGTGGATATCATTGAGAAATCTACTCACGAGATCTGCGACAGCACTTGGCCGCTTGATGGTTCAAACACCCAGAGCTTAGCTGCGTCGGCTCTTGAAGACATCATCCAGTCGTTTGGTACACTCGAGCAAGAGCTGTTCACTCAACTGCAATGGCAGATGCGATCCCCAATTTTTCTCGGCTTGGAATCAACTTTCCCCGCCCTTGATCACTTGACAGTCCCAGATCAACTTAGCCTTCCTTGGACAGCGCAAGAGAAGATCGGAGAAAGTATGCACGGGGAATTGTCATCTGTGCACCGGATCAAAATCCATGCGGACCACTTTGACTTCGTCAGTAACTCTACGTCATCCCACAACCATATTTGCATTACAGCCTTAACACTCTACCTCATAGGAAACGGTAGGAGATACATTCGCATTGAAAGTACTAGAAAAAGGCAAGGTGGTAAGAATCGCCGAGACGGACTTCGAGGACGAGATGGCCGCCAATCAACGAGCGACACATCCGCGAATCACGCCACTGCTCGCAGCCTTCAAACATAGAAACAAATTCCACCTCTTATTTCCGTGGGCAGATGGAGGAAACCTTCAACAACTTTGGAGGAAGTATGAGCCTTACCCTGGTCTAGATGGTCAAAAAGCTCCTTGGTTTTCAGTTGAATGGATGGTAGACCAATGCTACCATATCGCCGATGCTCTGGCTACCATCCATGGCCACCCATCGAACGAAGGGGGCCACTTTTACCAGTCACAGCTCCACCACGATATTAAGCCGGAAAACGTCCTGTGTTTTGATGATTCGAGAGACGGAACGTCTACTTTCAAGCTC